ATGCGAAGTGATCATATCCTTAACACTTAAGCACTACTCAATGGATAGCTTCTTAAAAGGCAGTAGCTGCAATGTTCTGGCATGAAAAGGGATCAGTGATCTCTTTTTGTCCTTGGATCAAACATCCGCATAGTTTACACTAAAGAGGAAGGCTGGCAGTATAGGGTTCCCGGGTGGCAGAAATTAATTATATATACCTTCAACATCTTACCATGCGTATGTCTTTTCTTTCTCCTGTGTGATTAGTTTGTAGTTTCGAACGTTCGTGGAAATTTCTATTATTCCGGTCTACTACCTTATTTATTAGTGTCATTGAAGTTGCATATTGATATATTCTTGCTGGCTTTCTCATCGAGCCATTGAAAGTTCTATAAAGCCAGTCTAATCATGTACAAATTTTAGTCGAGTTCTCAGCCATAAGTAAATTCTGCATCTGTTTTGCATCCGATGATAGCATTTGAGCTAGTGTATAAGTTCAAATTAACATTTCGGCAAATAAATTCATAGCTTCTGTTACCGGTTGTCGAATGGCGACTCCTTTCCTCACAATCATCGATTTGGGCGGGCAGAGACTTTCGTTGCCAGCCTGAAATTCATAGATGTGCCAGAAGAAAGCCACATAAAATATGAGATTGAAATTGGTACTTTTGAAAGTTCAACTTTAATAGTATCATATAAAAGTGTTAACATTTTCTGTGCATAATGCTCTGCTTACGAAAGTAGTTTTGGGGTTAGCGCCCTAGCATCAATAGGATACTTCTTTTCCTGAAAGTATTTTGCACCTGTTTCGAAAATCATCGCTGTCCTCTCAGTGGGGATCTGGTCTAGCTTAATTTGAATGCTTTGAAGTGCATATAAATGTTGTACTTCCCATAAAAACACACGGGTGTCACAACAGCGCTGAACCCTAACCGCTAGGTGTTAGTACGTAGCTCGTAGTCGAACTAATGCAAAGAAGTTTTTGGGGTCGCTTGCTCGTTGAGCATATTTACGTGGTACTCTCTAGCTTTTATTCATTTCTTGACCGATGAGACACTTTCTGATCCTCAGCTTTAGCTATAAAAAGGTAAAAGATCGTTTTAGCGAAGAACGTCTTTTTGAACGTATATTACTGAATAACTTCTTTGAAATCGTACTAAACTTTGTATTCTTTTCTTTTTTGATAATATAATCACTTTCAACACTTTTTAACGACTGTTTCAGATATCGCTAGACCAGTTCTAAGTGGTAGGCGATTTGATTAATTATAATAGTAATGCTGCCTAGTTTTATGTTTAGTTTTTTAATTGAAGTTTTGGTA